TTAACGATTAACGATTAACGATTAACGATTAACGATTAACGATTAACGATTAACGATTAACGATTAACGATTAACGATTAACGATTAACGATTAACGATTAACGATTAACGATTAACGATTAACGATTAACGATTAACGATTAACGATTAACGATTAACGATTAACGATTAACGATTAACGATTAACGATTAACGATTAACGATTAACGATTAACGATTAACGATTAACGATTAACGATTAACGATTAACGATTAACGATTAACGATTAACGATTAACGATTAACGATTAACGATTAACGATTAACGATTAACGATTAACGATTAACGATTAACGATTAACGATTAACGATTAACGATTAACGATTAACGATTAACGATTAACGATTAACGATTAACGATTAACGATTAACGATTAACGATTAACGATTAACGATTAACGATTAACGATTAACGATTAACGATTAACGATTAACGATTAACGATTAACGATTAACGATTAACGATTAACGATTAACGATTAACGATTAACGATTAACGATTAACGATTAACGATTAACGATTAACGATTAACGATTAACGATTAACGATTAACGATTAACGATTAACGATTAACGATTAACGATTAACGATTAACGATTAACGATTAACGATTAACGATTAACGATTAACGATTAACGATTAACGATTAACGATTAACGATTAACGATTAACGATTAACGATTAACGATTAACGATTAACGATTAACGATTAACGATTAACGATTAACGATTAACGATTAACGATTAACGATTAACGATTAACGATTAACGATTAACGATTAACGATTAACGATTAACGATTAACGATTAACGATTAACGATTAACGATTAACGATTAACGATTAACGATTAACGATTAACGATTAACGATTAACGATTAACGATTAACGATTAACGATTAACGATTAACGATTAACGATTAACGATTAACGATTAACGATTAACGATTAACGATTAACGATTAACGATTAACGATTAACGATTAACGATTAACGATTAACGATTAACGATTAACGATTAACGATTAACGATTAACGATTAACGATTAACGATTAACGATTAACGATTAACGATTAACGATTAACGATTAACGATTAACGATTAACGATTAACGATTAACGATTAACGATTAACGATTAACGATTAACGATTAACGATTAACGATTAACGATTAACGATTAACGATTAACGATGAATGCTTAATGATTAATGATAATGATAATGATAATGATAATGATAATGATAATGATAATGATAATGATAATGATAATGATAATGATAATGATTAACGATTAACGATTAACGATTAACGATTAACGATTAACGATTAACGATTAACGATTAACGATTAACGATTAACGATTAACGATTAACGATTAACGATTAACGATTAACGATTAACGATTAACGATTAACGATTAACGATTAACGATTAACGATTAACGATTAACGATTAACGATTAACGATTAACGATTAACGATTAACGATTAACGATTAACGATTAACGATTAACGATTAACGATTAACGATTAACGATTAACGATTAACGATTAACGATTAACGATTAACGATTAACGATTAACGATTAACGATTAACGATTAACGATTAACGATTAACGATTAACGATTAACGATTAACGATTAACGATTAACGATTAACGATTAACGATTAACGATTAACGATTAACGATTAACGATTAACGATTCCTCGCAGGTCAGGAGAGCCTCGTCTGCCGGCAAAGGGGGCGGGCGATAGTCGTCGTGCTCTCGCTCCACGTGCTCTACACTGCTCTTGGCCATGCACGTGCCCCGCGCTTGTTCTCGCCTGCGTTGTGCGCGCGCCCACGCCCCCGGGCCTCTGCCGGCACGAGGATTCGTGGGAGGAGGGCACCGAGACACATTCAGTGCCTTTGGTTCAAGCACGAGGGCAGCCTATCGTCTTCTCTTCAGCCGTCAGAGTAGCAGGACCTTTATCGTCTTTCTTCCCATTTCCTTCCTTCCCTAGAGTAAAGCAGTAGCGCCCCCCCCCCGTCTCGCTCCCCGCCCTGAGTGCCTGGCGTTCGCCACGGGCACGCTCCCTGCCATAGGCCTGGCAAGGTCTCTCCGCCATTTGCTGTTTCTTTCAGCGTTGGCAAATTTCTTTGTCAGGGATTAGGGCGATATATTGCATGTTGATAATATATTGCAAGGTAGGATTTCCTTTTGTGTGTTTTGTTCCTTGTTTTGGTGAAGGTTTAAATAAGAATAAATTGTAATGCAATGACTACGTATTTTTATAAATCTTTGACAATTAATAAAAGCTATTTATTAATAGACAACTGATGACTGATGATGGAAGACGATTTTAATACATTTACTATAAAAAGGATCACAATAAAATAATGAAGATTCTTTATAATTGAATGATAAATATGCATTAATGAGACATGAAAAATTAATGAATGAATTAACGTAATGATAAGCTAACAACGCTAATGGCATCGTAACAAAGAATGAAGACTGAATGACACCAATGAACGAACAAGAAGAAACTTGACAATCATTAGTACTTTAACGCAAGGACAGTCGGTGTCACGTGGCATGAGCCCTTCACAATCAGGCCGCTTCATTTTGATTTCTCGCCTGCGATTCCGGCAAAAGCTTTAGGATCAGAGTTCGGCGGAGCTGCGCTTCCCCGGATTCTCCGTGGGACACGCCAGCCGTAACGAGTGGGGCCTGGCCGGGACCTGTGCGAACTGCCAATTAGCATTTTGTTAATCACTTTTGTTCTGTCATTGTAACATGCGATTCCCTTGGAGATGAACTTTTAGTGTTTCATTAGCCGTTGTAACGCATGTTCCCGTTGGTATTATTTTGATTGTGCAATTGACTTCCAATGCATTTCGGAGATCTTTGATTGGTAAACAAGTCTTTGTTTATAATTGTAATTAGACTTTTGCTTGCTTGGTGGCATTTTACTGTTTTTGTGTTTACTTTAATTGTACGTTTCTTAGTGATTTGAAACACAGGTTTTGCGATTGTTGATAACATGTTTAATACATCCTAGCTAGCTAGCTTATTTTCGCCTGTTATTCTTCTTGGTGATTCATTATGTTCAGTGTTGAAAGTTTCGTTGAGAATCCGTCAGCCGAAGCGCCGGTCGGTCTAACCAAAGCCCAGGGGAGTGAGTTGGCCGCTCATTGTTGCTTCCCTATTCGGTCATCCTTACGGAAGGATGAAATTCGTACTTTGGTGACTGAATATTTGATAGAACACCATGTGCTGAGTGAGGATGATTTAGAGAACGGTGTCCTCGGGATGTCACGATGACCCGCCAATATGGCCTGGAGAGCCGTAAGTTAGATGTTTGAGGCAGAGAATGAGCGGAGGCGTCTCGTGCAGAGACCTAATCAGGAACGTTATCCTCATTTTCGTATGGAGGATGCAACTAAATTTGTTCCTAGATTTAATGAAACCGAGCCAGAGTATTTTTTCATTCATTTTGAGCGTGCAGCTGCCTTGCATGGTTGGCCCGCAGATAAGTAGGTATTACTTGTACACAGCGCATTTGTTGGCAGGGCACAAGGTTTTCTCAGCTCTGGATTTGGTACAGTCACAGAATTATCATGTTGTAAAAGAGGCTGTGTTAAATGTTTATAACAAGGTACCAGAGGCTTATAGACAGGATTTCCGCAATTGCCGTAAAGATGGTAAACAAACCATTGTTGAATTTATCCGCCAAAAGCAATTTTTGTGTAAAAAATGGGTTGAGAGTGAACTTGATGCACTCGAGTACGATAAATCACTAGAATTGTTTATACTCAAGGACATAAAGAAGTGCATACCTGTGAAAGTTCGCTCTCACATTGGCGAGCGTGGTCTGCGCACGTCAGCCGAAGTCGGTCGTGCCGCCGATCGTTTCGCTCTAATCCGACCTACTCTTGCAGATCTAATGATCCTTCATTCCAGTCTGACCAGCATACTGGTAAGAGGATGGAGTATAGTGCCAGAAGGACTGAACTGCCAGAAACCCACAGGACTAAATGCAAAGTCAGAAAAAGGTGGTGAGAGTAGGAATTTTGCTTCACGCGGTAAGAACTTTTGTTTTTGCCGTTATTGCAAGAAAGGCAGTCACGTCATGAATGACTGTTTTAAACTGGCAAATAAGCGTTCTGACGATAAACGGATTTTTCACGTCAATGCCAATGAGAGGAAAGATTTTGCATCTAACTATCATGGTAATAAACCTGATCTCGGCCTTTCCCCTTTTTCCATAACCGAATCTGTCAATGTGACCCCTTCATTTAGAACATTTTGTTCTACAGGACTTCTTAGTGCCGATGAATCGTGCCCGTCGTCTTCCCCGGTCACTATACTACGGGACTCGGCTGCAAATATATCACTGGTGCTCAAAGAGGCTGTTCCTAACCAAGCCTGTTACACTGGAGAGATGGTACTTGTTAATAGACTGATTGGGTCCAAGAACACACCCATTTGTGAAGTTTACCTTAAATCTGATTTGATATCTGGTTATGTAAGATTGCGTGTTTTTGAGAAGATACCAAGTGATGGCATTTCTCTTCTTGTGGGTAACGATCTCGTCGGTGATAAGGTGTGGCCTTGCCCTGTGTTTCACTTGTCCCACGAAAGAGAACAACACTGTAGATTAGAGAGGGAGTATCCTGGCCTCTTCCCTGCGTGTGCTGCCCCCCGCGGTGCAAGTCGTAGCCCCCCCCCCTCCTGCCAAAGCACCTACTCCCGGAACTACATTGCCAGAGGACTTCTTCAATTCATCTGCTAAAGTCTTAAGTCAGCCTGCATCTGACAATCCTGATATAGTGAATTTCAGAGACACTCCAATTACTAAAGAGAAGCTAATTGAAGAATGATCCTGATTTGAAAGCATTTTATGATAAGCTTGCTGACCTAAGTGATCTAGAAAATTCTAATACATGCTACTATCGACAATCAGGCGTTCTTATGCGTAAATATAAGCCGTATAATATATCTGCAGGCGATGCAAGAACGACCGTACATCAGATTATAATTCCCATGTTCCTTTGTACAGACGTTTTAAATATTGCACATGACATTAGTGGTCATTTGGAAGTCAAGAAGACTTATTACAAGATTTTAGCTCACTTTTATTGGCCGGAAATGAAAAGAGATTTTAGTCGTTATTGCCGGTCGTGCCATCTCTGCCAAGAAAAAGGTAAGGCGGGAGCTGGCATCAAACCATACCCCTTGCAACCTCTCCCAGTGTCAAGAGAGCCCTTCAGTAAAGTAGTCATTGACTGTGTAGGTCCCCTTCAAAGACTAAACGGAGTAGCAAGCTCTTCCCCTCAGACGCATTACTGCTAAGACTGTTGTGAAGGCCTTAATAAAATGTTTCACTCAGGTGGGTCTCCCTGCCGTAGTACAGTCAGATCAAGGCATTTCACGTCCAGACTGTGTGCAAAAGTCCTTCGGGTTTACAGCAGTGCAGGTCCAGTGTACATCATCCTCAGAGTCAAGGGTCGTTGAAAGGCTACACTGTACTGCAGAGACAATGAAATTGGATCTCCTCCAGGGTACTCCCAAGGCCCGTGGACCCAGAGGGCGAGGCCGATTTCTGTGTAGTGAGCTGACGCCTCACCTTCCTACTTGCCGCTCTCGCCCCTGTGTCAGGCTTCGTAACAGAATTCTTACTAGTCCCCCCCCGACTATCCCTGGCGCCTGTCCGTGACGGACGATTATAGATGGCGCAGAAGGCGACGCTGCAGAGGACCTGCCTGCAGAAGACGCTGACGAGCGAACGCAGATGCCTTGGACGAGATGCTGCAGTCCTTACTGAGGAGGAGGAGGATACGATTCTTAATACCGACTTTCAGCCCGGAAACACCTGGAGTAACGCTGCAAACTACGTATTTCTGAAAGCTGGCGACAGAAAACGGTGTACAGTTGTTTGGCCCCAGAGCCTGGTTGGCTAGCCAGCGTAATTTTATTTCCTTTTATATTCAAAACCTTGTATATATTTTATTTTATATTTATATAAAAAATGTCATATGTTTTTATTAAAGACCTCCTCTGCAAATACCAACTGAAAAGAGCAATCACACAATAACTAAGATTAAAGCTGTAACGTCTCAAGGAGCAGACGACATTCTTAAGAATAACGAGTCTTGCTGCGCAGACTCCGAAGTGAACGGACTTGGCGCACGACCTTGTTCGTATAAAAGGTCGGGTCAACGACCTTGTAGAGCATTGGCTCTGTGAACTACGCTCGGTTTTTCCTTCAGAAAGCCGACGTTTTTAACGAACTTTTTAATTTTTATTTTGGATTTATTTTTACCCTTGGATTTTACGTAGGATTAACGAAGTTGAGGAGTAACAGCGAATTTTTTAAAGGTATTGTTTTTTCTGTTTTTATTAAGATTGCTTTTTTTCATGGAGGTTTTAGTTATGCATTGTTTTTATGGCTTAATAATAACTTAATGAACTGGCTTTTATTTTTATTTCATCACGTTTTATTTTCTTTATCTTAAATAAGTGATAGGATTAATCCACATTGTGCTCTTTATATTATGTCTGTTTGACGAATTCTCCATTCATTCATTTTTCTTTTATTTTATTTGTAAATTTTTGTACTCTCGCTTAACGAGATTACATTGACAATGGAACACAGCATTCAGGCTTTTCATGTAGTCATGTTAGATACATATAGCTTTGGCCACGATCCTGAAAGCTAATTCCGCTGCCACATGAATAACTCTAACCTGCTTAGTGCCGAATCCTTTATATACTTCTGTGCCGAAACAGGACGCACGAGATTTTTCTCATATGCTCCTACGGCCCGGCCAGGGACAGCCTCGGCCTACATCTGCGTTTGTCACTCCGGCCGGCCTCGAGGGTTCAGGTTCTTCCGTCTGGGATGAGGGACGCCCGGCGACCTTTCAGCGACTCATGAACTACCTGACGGCGGACCTGGAAGGCGTTCATTGTTACCTCATCATCATCATCGTCAAGGTCCGTAGCCATTGGGCCGCAGGTGTGCTCTTATGTTTTAACCCATGTCTTTCCACATATTCCTGTCAGCTGCCCTTCTTGTAGCGTCTACCATTAATAGATTTGTCCATTCCAGAATGTTAGCCAGGTTTTCCTTGGTCTTCCCCGGCCTCTTTTTCCAGGAACTCTGCCAGGCATTATGGCATTTGCAAGGCTTAGGGAACTGTGATTACGGGTGACGTTACCTCGACGACCTCGTAATCTGGAGCGAGTCCTGGGAGGAACATTTGGTCCGCCTGCGTGCGCTCTTCTCGGTCCTGTCGGGCGCCAATCTGACGGTCAACCTGCAGAAGAGTGAATTTGGACACGCTCATGTCGCCTTCTTGGGTCACGTGATCGGTCAGGGCCAGGTCACACCTGTCGCCGCAAAGGTGGAAGCTGTCCTGCAGTCTCCCGCGCCCGTCGCCCGTAGTGGCTTGATGCGCTTCATGGGGACGGCCGGCCACCACAGAAGGCTCTGCAAGAACTTCTCGCAGGTATCCGCACCTTTGACAGCTTTTGCTGAGTGCGAGACGGACATTCAGGTGGTCACATGACTGTCAGCAAGCCTTTGAAGACCTGAAGCGCCTCTTATGTACCGCCCCCGTCTTGCAAGCTCCTGAAACAAGTGTACCGTTTGCAATGCAGGTGGACGCCAGAAACAGTTCTCTTCCAGGGAAACGAAGTGAAGTGCGCCACCTAGTGTGTTATTTTTCTTATAAATACAAGTCCTATCAAAAGTCTTACGCCACCGTCGAAAAGGAGGCTTTAGGAATAGTGTTGGCCATTCAAAAAATTAGAATGATTTAATTAGTTCTATCTATCCTATTGAAATTTTTACTGATCATAATCCGTTAACGTTTATGGAAAAAGTGAAGTTTAAAAACACGCGAGTATTAAGGTGGGCACTAACACTGCAGCCATTCAGTATAAAAATCTTCCATATCAGTGGCAGACACACTATCACTATCATAAATGAATGGATGAATTAAAGTAATAAGCTAACGACGTTGATGAGCATCGTAACAAAGTGTGAAGAATGAATGACATCAATGAATGAACAAGAAGAAACTTGACAATCATTAATACTTGAACGCAAGGACAGTCGGTGTCACGTGGCTTGAGCCTTTCACGATCAGGCAGCTTCATTTTGATTTCTCGTCCGTGATTCTGGCAAAAGCTTTATGATCAGAGTTCGGCGGAGCTGCGCTTCCCGGATTCTCCTGGGGACACGCCAGCCGTAAGAGTATATACATATATATGTGTGTGTGTGTGTGTATATATATATATATATATATATATATATATATATATATATATATATATATATATATATATTTATATATACGACATGTCTGTGACATGTTATGAGCAGGCGCAAAACGCGTTAGGGGGTAAGGGGGGAGGGGGTGAGAGGAGAGTGAAAGAGATTCCTTCCAAGCTGAAATTTTCCTCTTTTGTTTATTATGCTGTTCTGTTTTAGTGAGGTCTAATTCCGTGGTTATTTACAGGTATTTTAGTTGACTTTGTTTTTAAGTTTACTAGACTTTTGTTCCTTGATATAATAATTCACTTTTGGAACTTTTCCCTCTGCCTTGAACCACCGATATGCTGATAGTTCGAAAACTGATAATTGCAAGGAATTTTCAATTTTTTCCCGCTCAACGCCCAAACTGACATGCATTGCAACAAACCGCCGCCCACATGCTTTCTTTCAGAGTAAGTAACTCCCAGACGTCCATTTCGAAACACAAACTGCCAATAAGACACTCATATATACTTTCGTCTCGGTAGGAATCACTGATGGCTAATGGCGATGATGTTGCTTGTGATGCTCATTGTGACAGAAAGACCAATTCAGGTGTTTGGGTCATTCCATACCAAATCATCATCACCATTTAACCCCACCCCTCAGAATAGCCTCAAATTTGGTTTACTGATAAAGATCTATGAGCTAGAGAAGAAAGTCGAAAATTTTTGAGAAATTCCATCTAGTTTGGGTTTTATGGACCATTTCATTTTTTGAAAATACCCCCCAAAAAGCTTAGGGCTAGCGATGACATCTTTGATGCACAAGTTAAAGTTATTTTAAACCTCACTGGAAAGAGATACATGGAGGAAAACAAGCACTTAAGTATTTTCAGGCATGTAGAATTCAAAAATAACACTTAGAAAGTCATATCTAGCACCAGGACAATGCCACCTTACAATAAACTGATGTAGGTTTCTGGCAAAATATTTTGGTGGTGGTCAAAAATTGATTTTTCCCCCAAGAGGCATACCTTTTACAAACTTTTTTATTATGTTTCCAAAATCTACATAGAACAATCATGTAGTAGACCAAAAGGTAGCTTGGGGTCTTAACTCCTTCCTACTCAAATTGGGTTGGAAAATCTGACCATTTTTCGAATTCGCAACCTTCTGTGTAATGGTTTCTATAACACTACCCATCCTTGCAGAGTACATGTATCATTGGAATTTAGCTTGAAATCACAAACATTGGCTTTTATCATATTATATAGCAAATTTCTTCAAAGTTTTATTAATTGTTTGAAAAATTATGTTTGGTAAAAACGTCACTGAGCATGCTCCAGTAGATTATTCCCACAAGTGGTGCAAAGGATGCTTTGGTACATACTAGCAATCAAATGAAAATCAGTTGTCTGTAGGACCTGAAGTTATCACAAAACTTCTAGAAGACATCAACAATAAGGTAAGCAACTCATTTCCCTTTTGTCTTTGATAATGGAGGATTAATGCTCAAGTGTCTTTAACGGAAACATAGAGTCTTTTTAAGAGATACCTGTAACTCCTTGTGTATGGCTGTACTGCAGTGCTATGTGCTTAATTGCCTATAAAAATAATTTTAGTCTTTTCCAATAAATCCAAATAGATCAACTCTTACTAAGATTAATCATCAAATTTAATTATTTGAAATTGAATTTGTGTCGTCTTCATAACAGATCTGGAATATTTTCAGAAAGTGTCCGCAGTTATTATGGAAAAGATGCAACAATGTTCTGTTGGCCTTGAAAGAGATGATGAATGCCACAAGAAATCTTTTACTTCACGTGTTGGTTTGATGAATGCTGCTGAACTGGATGATGAAGAAAAAGAGTTGATTGCCTTAAGAGCAGAAATGAAGAATTCCATAGATACAGTTTGTTTTCACCACAAACAGTTTTATCTGGTGAAGTTTATGACCTACCAGGATAGATGCTGTGACCCTTTTCATTCACACAAAAAACCTGCTCATGGTTAGAGTTGCTACTTGCATGTTATACATTTCATTACTAATATCTAAACACATTGTCTAGACACAGGCCAATTTTAGAGCAAAAGAGAAATGAAATTACTTGTTGGAAATCTGTTTATATGAAAACATCTTAGCAAGCCCAAAACTTAGTGATATCATCAGAACAAAAGGGAATATGCACTGGTAAATATAGCAAATATTGACAAATTTTGCTTAGTTGACTAATAACTAGAAAATCAAGCATTTCTTAATTTATTTTCAGGTTCTTTACGATTAATAAAGATGGAACTTGTGAAGTCGGCACAGCGACGAAAGAGATCTCTTTCAAGGCCAACAGAACATTGTTGCATCTTTTCCATAATAACTGCGGACACTCTGAAAATATTCAAGATCTGTTATGAAGACGACACAAATTCAATTTCAAATAATGAAATTTGATGATTAAT